ACACACACACACACACACACACACACACACACACACACACACACACACACACACATGCTTTGATGAGCTCCAAGCTGCCTGCTGTGTGATCAGAGGTTCAACCGGATCTTTAAACCCATAATTGTGTAATTAGGATGATTGAGAGTTGTGTGTGAACCAACCGTTAGCTGTGGGCGGGGCATGGACCGGCTGATGGAAACTGGGCCACAGACTGAACCAGGTTCCCACAGAGCTGGATGATCCTCTAACACTTCTCTGTGGTTGGGCTGCAGGGGCAACAGGTCCAGGACAGAAACCAAGACTTGAGGAACCCCAATGTGTTCCCAGACCAGAGGGAATACATGATCCCTCCAACAAGTTCTGGATCTGTCCAGATGAGCTGGAAGGCCTTTGAAACAGCTGTTTTCCACAGACTCCTCAGGCGTACACAGAAAACAGAGTTTTGTGTTTTACTTGAGGACCTGTTGATGTTTGACCTCCTCACAGAGGATCCACAGTCCCTCAGAGACAACTGGACTGTGGTCCGTCTGAAGAGTGAGGCCTTAGTTTACACTAATGACAGCAAAAAGACAACAGGAAACAGGTCTGAACTGCTTCTCAAACACAAGTGGACGTTCCAGAGCGAAAAGGATCATTTGGAAGGAGGACCAGGTCTCAGAGGGAGAATTCAAGCTGAAGGTTTTCAGAGAACTCCTTCACACTGAACATGATGAACTAAGCTTTTCCTCAAAGCTCCAGATGTCTCTCCTCTTTGGAAGACAAGAATGTGGCTGAACTCCCAGTTTCTCGTCTCCAACAGCAATGGTGACCTACTTCTTTAATCCAGAAGGATTTCCTTATCTGTGCTTCTGGAGGCCAGTTAACAGCTGAATCCAGATGTTTGCAGACGTTGTATATAAAAACTCTGAGCTGTTTTTCTCACTGTCTCACATTAAATCAGGCTAAACTGTTAAAAACTCAATATTTTCTATTATGTTTGGTTCAGTTTATAATTAATGTACACATTTTATTTTTGTTTCCTTTGTTTTGTTCCATCGTCCGTAAGGACAGCTCACAGACCCTGCTGTGCTCCTTGGTCTTCATGATGCTGTTTGATTAGTAATGGGCTGAGCCATGAACCCTGGAGCTATTCTAAATCAACCATTTTTCCATACGTCACCCAAACCCAAAAAGAGCCGCGGACGGCCGGGATGGACACGGGGGTACCGCGCCCAAGCGTCCATATGTTACGAGTCCGACATGAGAATGTGTTATATCATTTTTCAGTAAAACAGCAACTTTTTAGGCTTTAATCTCCAAACCTAAGAAGAACACACGTCCTGGTCATGTTTTCAGGTTGATGGCTCAATTCTAAAACATTTTGTCTTGTGGCCCATATCAAATGTTAACAAGAGCTACAAAGTTGATCCCTAAGATGATCAGGTCCAAGAACCATAACCTCTGTCTCATCTGAGTTCAAAAGCAGAAAGTTAAGAGTCATCCATGTTATTATGTCTGTAAGACATGCTTGTAGTTTAAGTAACTGGTTGGATTCATCAGGTTTCATGGATAAATATAACTRAGTATCATCAGCATAACAATGGAAATTTATCCCATGCTGTTTAATAACTTTACCTAAAGGAAGCATATACAAAGTAAAGAGGAATGGTCCAAGCACTGAACCCTAAGGAACTCCATGACTAACTCTGGTGTAAGAAGAAGATTCATTATTAACATTAACAAACTGAAATCTATCAGTTAAATAAGACTCAAACCATTTTAGAGCCATGCAAGAACAAAAAAAGTGTAAATGAATCACAGTAAATGTGCAACACTTTGTGTGGTCCTTAAATAAATTATGTAAATACAGAAACATGTGGACAAGCAAAAACAATATTTACATTTTTTTAATGTTTAGTTAAATATTTTGACTCTGCTACAATTTAACAACTGATCTAGATTAAGGTATAACTTCATTTGGGTCCAAATTAGGAACATATTTGGGAACTCCTATCAGAAGCTAGAACTGAATGAGTCTGTATGAACTCCTGATTGGATCAGTTTTGGGACAGCAGTAATCGGATACAGAGGGTCAGACTGTCAGACTCAATGTTTTCCTAACTGAGGTCATTCACAGTTTTGTCATCAACAGTTTAAATATTAAGTTCCTTAAATAAGGTTATCCAAACAGCCTCTTTTGGGACGGCTCTAGCAGAGTGGTTTGGGGAGTCGTCCTGGAACAGGAAGGTCACCGGTTCAATCCCCCGTCCAGCTGTCTCAGTTGTTGTGTCCTTGGGCAAGACACTTTCCCCCTAATGCCTCTGATGTGTCCCATCAGTGTACGAATGTGATTGGCTCTGATTAGTCTCCATAGATGATTGTACGTTAGCTTTGCACAGATTGTAGTGTGAAGAGCTTTGAGTGCTCTGGTTGGGTAGAAAGGTGCTAAACAAGTACAGTCCATTTACTATTAAAGTGAAAACCAACATTGTTCAGCAAGAAAACATTTAGATATTAGCTAAAAAAATATGTATGTACACAATTTCTGTTGAAAACATTTTATTATGAAATGAGAGGATGAAGATAAATGTTATCATTGTCAAAAAGAACTTGTGCTAATAATACTCCAGTTTTCTGCTTCATGTTTTTTCACTGATCAAAACATAAACAAGAACTAAAAAGTAAAACTGGTCTGACTCCAGTCTTTATTGTCTGTCTACCAGTGTCCTAGCCTTTAGACACCATCTGCCATAGTGTCCCCAGGTCTGTCTCCAGTCCTTCAACTTTGTTTACCACAGTGCCCTCAGGTCTGTTTCCAGTCCGTTGAACCTGTCTACCACAGTGTCCCCAGGTCTGTCTCCAGTCCTTCGACCCTGTCTACCACAGTGTCCCCAGGTCTGTTTCCAGTCCTCTGACCCTGTCTACCACAGTGTCCCCAGGTCTGTCACTATTCCTTCGACCCTGTCTATCAGTGTCCCCAGGTCTTTCTCCAGTCCTTCGACCCTGTCTACCACAATGTCCCCAGGTCTTTCTCCAGTCCTTCGACCCTGTCTACCACAATGTCCCCAGGTCTTTCTCCAGTCCTTCCACATTGTCTACCACAGTGTCCCCAGGTCTTTCTCCAGTCCTTCCACATTGTCTACCACAGTGTCCCCAGGTCTTTCTCCAGTCCTTCCACATTTGTCTACCACAGTGTCCCCAGATCTTTCTCCAGTCATTCGGCCCTGTCTACCACAGAGTCCTGATGTCCGTCTCCAGTTTTTCAATTCTGTCTACCACAGAGTTAATAGCTACTAATAATTCATAACTATTAGACTTCTCAATCTCAAAATGTCCTCCCATGGAAGTCAACACCATTGATTTCCCCTCACTTTAGCTGTTTTATTAGATTAAAAACAGACCGGTAGATTGTATTTTGTCACAAACCTGATATTACAAATTTGATTAGACCAATATATTGTGATTTTGTTACTTTCTTTTTAAAGTGTTTTTGACTGTCTTCATAGAGTTGCTCATCTCCTCTGAGTGGTCTATAGAAACTGAATTTCTTGCTGAAAAATTAGCTTTAAAAAGTAATTTTACCATCTGTTACTCTTTTCCCTGAGTCATTAGTAGTTTCCACTTAATTTACTTTATCATGGAATTAAGGCATAAATGCTCGAAAGTTTTAAAGTTAGAGATTCTGTCCTGGTAAGTCTAAACTTGAACAGGCTGAATAATTTAGTTGCATTGCAAGGTATCAGTTAGATAAACTAGTAGGCCTGAGTCTGCGGTGGGAATAGAAAAGGTGTTGGCTCAAAATAAAATAAATATAATATTTGTTGGGGTCAATAACCTTTGGCTTTGAGTTCAAGAGACCAGTTAAGTTTTTCAAATGTTGCTAGAAAACAAATCTAAAAAACTATTAAAAGAACCACTGAACATTATTTTAATGAAACTGGCAAAGAGAATAGTCAATACGTTGACATCTGCAACTGATAACCTGATTAAAGAGGGTCACCACAGCAGAGGGATCTTAGCAATACAAACATGGCTAGAAGTCAGTGTATTTGACAGAAAGTGAGCATGAAATGGAATGAAGACATTTCAAATCATGTCTCAAACCTTGGCATTAACTATTACATGTCAACCTCGTTTGTTAGCAAAATATTTCACAAACCTCAATGAAACTCTCAGTGTTCATTTACAGCTGATTGTTCCTGGTAATATGAATCCCTTCAAGAAATGATGGGCCTTTTGAAATCAAAAGAATGAGTTGCTCTGAACTAGGCAGTTTATTGGGCATACAGTACGGTAGTGGACCAAGATAAAGATCCTTAGAACACATTGAGGAATGTAGCCTTGGAGTCCATGCCAATGGCATTCTTGGCAGTGCATCGATAGACACCAGTATCTCTTTGTGTTGGATTCTGAATAATGAGGGACCCTTGTGGGTGGACATACTTATTTCCAAACAGGCGTGGCTGAGCACTAACAGCTAAGCGGGTTTTATCTGGCGTTTCCCACGCCAACTCCACTTTAGGAACCCCAGTCGCTGCACAGTTTAACTGAATGGCAACTCCACGTTTAGCATACGTCACAGAGGGAGGGCTGCTGGTGATTTGTGGAGGGTGTGTGGCCACGGTTACTGATACAGAGAGCAGAGAGCTGCCATATTCGTTAGCAGCTATACAAACATATGGACCTCGATCATGGATGGACGCTTGGCGGATGGTCAGTGTCCCATTGGACATTATAGCATACCTTCCAGTTCTCTGCAGCTTGTTCAGAACAACCCCACTGGGGAGGGTCCATGTTAGTCTAAGGGCCTCACCAGTGGCTTGACAGTGGAGGAAAAGTGTTTCCCCATTCATGATACTGACAGGAGAGATGTATCTGTTTTGGATCTCTGGTTTTCTCCCTGGGGACACTGTGATCATACGCTCCACAGGACCAGCAGAGTTCTGCCCCAGACAACGGTACGTGCCTGCTTCAGCAACAGTTGGGTTGCTGATGATCAAAGAGCCATCSTCCTGGTGGAAGAACTTTAAATAYCGAGCACCAAAGGGCAAAGGTGTGCCATTAGGTAAGATCCAAGTCAGATGAGGTAGTTTTATGCCTTCAAATGAACAATTCAGAGTCATGGTATTCCCCACTCTCAGAGACAAATTATCCCTTTCAGGAACTCGCTTTTGTGTAATTTCAGCAGCTTCTTTGACATCTAGGTTAACCACCAGTCTGGCCTCCCCTCCATCATTACGGGCAAGACAAATCAGCTGACCTGAGTCTGTCTGTTTGGTCGATCGAATTTCCAAAGTACCATTTTGATGAACTGTTACTTTGCTGGTGTGGTACGGTGCTAAAAGGATAATATTTCCTGGCAGAATCCACATGATCTGAGGTGCAGGGTAACCCTTTGCCACACAATCCAGCAGCTTCTTTTGACCTTGAACTGCAGTTGCCTTTATCACGTTGACAGCTCCTCTCAGATCRTTGATAACTGGAGATGTTACCAGGACCTCCAATCTGGTAACTTTAAGGTCTTGTCCAGCACTGTTCTTCACCAAGCAGGTGTAATTACCTTCCTCAAAGCCTTGGGCCTTTTGAATAATCAACGTTCCATCATTAAGGATCTGGTATTTGTCCAGGACAGGTGAAATCAGTCTATTTTTTGGAGACATCCACATTATGGCAGGTAGAGGTTCACTCTTGGCATTGCATTGCAGAGCTACTGTCTGACCATGGAAAACTCTGACAGTGTTCCAGTCTTTGTCTTGGATTTGTGGTGGGGACACAGCAGTCTTTACCCTGACCCTTACTTTCATCTCATCCTTGCCAAGCTGGTTTTCTGCGTAGCAGGTGTAGTCCCCTTCCTCTGGCATGCCAACATCATCAAAGTAGAGCGTTCCATTGTCAAACACCACATACCTAGGAGAAATACCAGAAGAAAAGGATGACTGTTATGGTCTGATGACAGGATTTATAAACTCAGAAATGTAAGCATACATGGCATGAATTAGAGCCCTAAAGATTATATGAGCAAGGAATTATTGTACAATATCAATTATTAGTTTATTTTTATATGATGGCCATGATACAAAATAAATAATCTACTAGACTGTGGATGGTCACTGCATGATCCTGCTGAGGTTTGTAAGCATATATTAAGAACACAGCATGCTTCTCATTATGCATGATAGAGTGTGTTAAGTGTGAGTATTCACACAATGCCCTTAGGGAGGCTGTGGTGGTTTATTGTTGTGGTAGCAGCAGATTAGCATCCTGTGTGGGGCGTGGTGGCAGCAGTCAGTATTCATGACCGTGGTGCCTGAGCTCACTGATGTGGCCTGGCTACATTCTCCTAATGACAAGGCTACAGCCCTGTAATTACATCAGTGTTGCGCACAGGTGCATCCTGACACAGTCCAACAGAGCTCCACTGTGATGATGAGCCAGATGAAAAACCTGATCAAGAGACTACCGCTGGCCCTGATTGGATCAGACYCCTGGTCTTCAAGTCCTGAACGTCTAAGCAGAAACAGGTGGTGGTGCTTTGCAAAGCATCCTGCTGAGAACTGGCTTCTAAGAAATCCATCCAATCTGGACTTAGTGATAGCATGCCAGTTGTCCTAAAGGTTTGAGAGACACTGGTTCTGATCCACCTTGGACCACAGGGGAAATTCATTGTTGACACTTTTCAATATGTCCACCACCCCCATGTGGGGGTTGATGACCAGCAGACTCAAGATGATCATTAATAAAACTGTTGAACATTTGAGTCTGGAGGACAGGAGGACACTGAAAAACTGGTCTATCTCATAGATCATACATCCCACCTCCTCCATAGACCACTCATTTCAGTCTTCTTCAATCGTCTTTATCCTACTCTCTCTGAGTGTTGTCCACAAAGGGACCTTTTAGATATGGGTCTAAGGTGTTATCCTTTAAAATAAAATGGTTTTTAGTCAGTCAAAACAAGAAATCAACAGTGACACTTCAGTTCTCTTTACATACTTTATTTCTCTAGATGCAAAAGTACAGTTTTGAGACTCCTAAAAGACTGTTTTCTTATGGACAATAACCCTACAACAATAAAAAGTCAGTGTTTTCAGAAGCACTGTCCTGTGTGGACAGAATCTCTCACTGTCTTCCACCTCAAAATTTACCAGCTCTGCTTTGTGGAAAAGATGAATCTCATTTATAAAATGCATTTTATGTCTGCTGCTCGGATAGCGTCCTTTACCTCCAGGATAAATAAAGTATTCATTCATTCAGGCCTGCTCTTGTTCTGAAGAAGATATTTACTCAACCAACAACAGGTCTTTAGAAAACTAACAGTTTAAGATTTTATTCTATTAATTCACTGGAAACTAAAAGTTCATGATGGCTGAGATCCAAATAAAGCCTGCTTCATCAGTATACAGTGATTTTATCAGAGGAGTTAACTGGACCCAGTATTTCTGAAAGTCCATACCTGCGGCTGTGCCTGGCACTGGTTCCCTCTCTTTGTTTGACTGGGTTCACCATGGTGCCATCTGGCAGGGCCCAGCTGATCTTTGGGTTGGGGAGACCAGAAGCCACACAGTCCACCTTCAGGTCTGCACCATGGACTACCTCCTGACTGGATCTCTGTTGCTTCCTGTCAATCTTGGCAGGTCTGGTCAGAACGCTGACACTCAGCTGGACGTAATCGTCTCCCATCTTGTTCCGTGCAAYACAGAGGTAGTCACCACCGTCCTTCTCAGTCACAGAATGGATGGTTATACTGCTGTTCAGGGACACCTTGATCCTGGGGTCAAAACTGCACCAAACAGTAAAGAGGTACTCTTCAGTTTACTGTGTGATGGTGAGTACAAGGATTACAACATCCTATACAACATAGTTATGAAGGTGAAGAAAAATGGTTTTACTTTGGTCTATAAGCAAATTATCTCATCAAACTTAACAAACCTCTGAACATCTGATTAATCYGATTAACTGTTGGAGGTAACATGATTCAAAATGGCTGCCAGTCAACTGACCTTAAACACAGAAAACTTACTGACCTTTTTTCAAGTATTTTACTTTATCTATTGAAATGCATTCAGATCTCTGCAGTACGTTCAAAAACATTGTTCTTTTTTAATCTTCTGCTGTGCACAGGCTCAGTTCTTGTCTTTGTAGGCTACTCATAGCTTTTAGCTAGTCTTTAGCCACTATTAGTTTTTAGCCACCATTGTGCTACTTTTAGCTTTTAACTAGACCTTTGTTCATTTAAGCTAGGTCTTCATTACTTAAGCTTTTAGCAACATTTTTACTGTTTCAACTTTTTGCTACAATTTAGGTGCTTTATCAAGCTTTTTTTTACGATTAGATTTTTGAAAGTTTGTGCTGAAAAGAATATTTAGCTAAACTTTTCTTTAAGTTTTTAGTCACAGTTCTGTAACATTTACGTAGATTTTGGTTAGGGGTTTGTTAGTTTCAGTCAGTGTTTTACAATTTTAAACGTTTGTTGCTGAAATGTGTTATACAAAAAAACTTGATTGATTGATTGACTGATTGATTGCTTGAATGAGTGACTGATTGATTGATTGAATGATTGATTGACTGACTGATTGACTGATTGACTGACTGATTGACTGATTGATTGCTTGAATGATTGATTGACTGACTATTTGATTGATTGACTGATTGATTGATTGATTGAATGATTGATTGACTGACTGATTGACTGATTGACTGACTGATTGATTGACTGATTGATTGCTTGAATGATTGATTGACTGACTATTTGATTGATTGACTGATTGATTGATTGATTGATTGAATGATTGATTGACTGACTGATTGACTGATTGACTGACTGATTGATTGACTGATTGATTGCTTGAATGATTGATTGACTGACTATTTGATTGATTGACTGATTGATTGCTTGAATGATTGACTGACTGACTGATTGACTGACTGACTGACTGAATGATTGATTGACTGATTGCTTGAATGATTGATTGACTGACTATTTGATTGATTGACTGATTGATTGCTTGAATGATTGATTGACTGACTGATTGATTGACAGATTGACAGATTGATTGCTTGAATGATTGATTGACTGACTGATTGATTGACAGATTGATTGCTTGAATGATTGATTGATTGATTGACTGATTGCCTGATTGATTGATTGATTGATTGATTGATAATGTATTCCAACATTTGTCTTTTAGCTAGCATTATGCTTCTTTTAGCATTCACACAGCATTTTCAGAGAAACTGTTATTTCTTTAGTTCATCACATCATGTTATTACCTGTACTGAGCATCAACCAACTTCTTAGAGGGGGTCCTCCAGAGGATCCGGGGTTCCGGCTCTCCTGTTGCTTCACAGTTCAGAAGCAGTGTACTTCCATACATCACAGTGGTTCTTTGTGGAGATGAAGATAATATGGTGGCCTTGGCAGAGACCTGGTCTCTCCTGATGTTTAACGTCACAGTTCTAGTGGCTGATGCTCTGGTGTTTGTGATTGAGCACTTATAGATTCCAGAATTTCTGGGGCCCAGTTTCCGTATGTGGAGGGTCCCGTTTGGAAAGATATTAAGGTTCTGTCCTCTGACTGATTGGGAAGCAGAAAGCTGTAAGCCATCAGGTGTGACCCAGTGAATGAYGGGCTGAGGGGTACCTGTGGCGGTACAGTTTATATAGGCAGTGCCACCCTCTGGAAGGGTCAGATTCTCATGTTGGTTCTGGTGGACCTTGGGTGCCAGTGCTAAAACAGAAAGGTGTACAGAGACTGTGTCGGAGCCAACTGCATTGCTGCCAACACATTTGTAAATCCCTCTGTTGGTAAAACTGGTCTGGCTGATCCAAAGTGTTCCATTATTATCAACAGATATGTGCTGTTGAAACGGTCCACCAGCCGATGGTGCCACCATTMGGACATGATTTGGGAGAATCCACGTGATCCGAGGTACAGGGTGGCCTTCTGCCACACATTCCAGTTGGACTTTATCACCCAGATAGGCTATGACGTCTTGCTGTCGAGGTCTGAGGATGTGAGGGGGTTGGGACAGGACAACCAGGTTGACCAGCATCTCATCTGCACCATACTGGTTCTGAACTACGCACAGGTACTGGCCTGCGTCCACCGGCTGGGAGGTCCAAATGATTAAAGTTCCATTTGGGTGGACCTCAGACTTCTGCATCCTTGTGTTCTGAGCAATGGTTTCACCTGCAAACAAAGAAACAACTAGTTCTGATTTGAGCAAAATGCAGTCCTGGCATGCCTTGAAAAGAATGTATATCGCCCAGAATTTAAACCTAACATCATGATGGAGTTACAGCCACTTAGATCAACACTTAAAATAACAATATGATCATATAGTATGACAAAACATCACACTCAGAGTGTTTGTTAAAGACAATGCTCCCCTACACTAAAATTGAAAAACGATTGAGGGTATTTGAGCTGAAATTATGTCTAAACTCACTAATAGAGTGGGCTAAGAAGGAAGGGGCAGTGGCTCTGAGCTCTAACATATTGTGCCAGATCTTTGTTTTTGAGTATTTGGAGCAAATGTTTTCTCTGTTAGCGAAATATCTAATGACCAACTGGATAGTCTATAATGAGCCTTAAAGACTGTAGTCACTGGATTAATGTTTTGGAGTCAATCCACTTTAAGGCAGTTCAGCTAATCAGCACTAACCAGCACATCACATTCCCATAAAAATATTTGTGCAGAGAGAATGTCTGTGACTCTCACAGTGAACAAAAAGCTGAATTATTGGGTTAAGTCATACATACCAGTAGCAACTTTAGTCCAAGACAGGAAGGGCCTTGGCTGGCCCTCAACCTGACAGGGAAGCTGAGCATGTGTTCCAGCTTTCACGGTGATAGTCTGGAAACTGTTCTTTGTTATCCTTGGCTTCCCTCTTGGCTTGGATCCTTGTTTATCTGGTGTTGATTGGAGCACAGACGATGTTTTGGTAGAGGTCTGGGTGTTGTATAGTTCTACATCTGCAGAGGTTGGATTTGTGACAGGTAGTTCCTGACTTGGTGATGGTTTTGTGGAATGGAGGCTAGTTTTTCYGTTTGACTCTAATGTGGAAGTGATGAAGTTTATTTGTTGATCTAGAGTTTGGCTGAGTAAAATCTGAGGACGGTGAGTGGTGACTCTTAGTGAAGTTGTTGTATCTGCTCCTGTAGAAGACATTTCTGGTTGTGTGACAGGTAGCATAGCTCTAGAAGTTGTTACAGAGTAAGATGTAGAAAAGGCAGTGGAGGCTGGTGCAGTTTCTTTGTTCCACATATTTTGAGTTTCTTTAAAACTTTGATCAATCTTTGACTCAGTTTTCAGAATCGCATTTTGATATAAATTGTTAGATACTGTAGGTGTCGACACAGTAACCTCGTCTGTTTCTAAATCTTGCTCAGAAATCCTGCTTGGTGTTTTATGGAACCTACTGGATGTGTCCCTGGAGGGTGTTGTTCCAAGATCAACGACATAAGCAGCTGAGGTCAAAGGAGGAGGAAGGAATGAAGAACCTGTTCCTGTCTCATTCCAAAGCATCTTTACACCCTTTTGAGAAAGTCTGTGTTGATTGACTGATAGATTGTTTTTGACATCTGTTGGCAAAGGTGTCACAGTTTGAAAAGCCTGGACTGATGGGTCTGAAGGTTCCATTTCTAGTACAACTCTTGAATCCTGAGTGTCCTCTGAAGGTTTATCCAGCAGATGAAGGCTGTTTGTAATCTTTCGCTGAGAGATTAATGTGACAGCTTCAGAAACCTCTGGAGGAGATGCACTTTTAAAGATATCCAAGGCAGCATGAGATGGGGTACTTTCATGGTCTGTACCTGGAGAAGCAGGTGGAAACACTGGTGTGGCTTCTGTAGCTTGGAACAATGGTTTACTTATGAGTACCTGAGCGTCTTTTGATGGTAATAAAGAAGGTTGAACRTTTGCATCATACTCCGTCCTATAAACTGTGTTTTCTTCAGGACTCTGTGTACCTAATGATGCTTCTTGGCTCTCTGTGAATGGAACAATGAAACTGACTGTAACCTTTAATTCTTCTGGTTTTAGCTCTGTAAAGACAGCAGTGTTGACCACTGATGAAGCAATGTTAACAGGTGTGGTGGTAAACATCTGGGCTGGTGTTTTTATCTTGTGTTTTCGTCTGTTTGCCTTTTTCTTCCGTCCTTCGTTCTTTCTCTGAGAGTTGGGCCGCTGTCGTTCAGACCCTCCCTTTCTGACAGAACTGGGAGCAGGTGAAGTTCTCAGAGATGCTGTTGTTAGAAGAATTTCAGTTTTCAAACTACTGATAGTTGGATCCCTTGGCTCAGGGTGAAACAGTGGTATGGTTGATGTTTCACTGAAATCTGAGACTGACTGACGGTTGACTGAAGAAAGGGTTTGATTTTGACCAAAAAAGTGTTTTCTTTTGTTTTTAAATCTGGCAGCTCCCTTTGGTTTAACTTTACTCAGCCTTTTCTTCGGCTCCTTGGACCGATCAGCTGTTTTGTCTGTGTCAGCATCTGTATTTATGCTACTGTTCTCTATGCTGCTGTTGGTTAGAGGGTCTCTGTCTACCTGCCAGATAGTGATAGCTTGTGAGGAAGCAGATGTGGTCTCGGGTAGATAAAACAAAACGTTTGAAGTTGTGTGTTGGTCCGACTCCCTCTGTGTACTCTGTGTTATTTGTGGTTTTATTGTTGTCTGCACGCTGTTTGTGTTTTGGCTGTTAGAATTTACATCATGTAGGCTGTATACAGCGTAGCTTTCAGATGTCTCAGAAACACCTTGACTGTGTGTCCTGGATGGATCCAGSCTCTCTGTTTGATGTTCAATAACACTATCTGATGACTTGTTTGGAGTTTTCAGTGGCTCTGTATGTTCCATTACGTTACTTTGGATTGTATACTGAACCGGTGTTTCTGTAATGGAATTCTGGGCATTCCTACCCCGAATCTTTCCCAAAATATCGGCCCATTTCTTGGGGTCTATTTTACCCTTGGAGATATTAATCCTCCTCCTGTTCCCAACAATAATTTTTCTGTCTTTAGGATTAGATCCCGTTGGTTTATGAAGCGGCGGAGGTTTCTGCCACATTTTCCTGGATGGGTGGATAACCCTGCGGCCCAGGACCACTCCTCCTGTAATCCTCCTTCTAACAGGATTTGAGCGGCTCATTGGAGCCCCATCTTGAGTCATTTCAACATCTCCTGATGCTTCCTCACCTGTATTCCCTGTGGGGACTTTAATTTGGGTGCTAATTCCTGAGGCTGACTGAGGTCCTGTGGGAAAAGCCCACAGGGGCTGGATTAGACCCTTGTCTCTTGCTACGGTAATCTTTTTAACCAGTGTATCTACACCGAGTGGATTAATGGCAACACATTTGTAATAACCACTATCTGATAGCTGAACCTCTGGGATATAAAGAGTACCATTGGAATAAACTAAACCTTTAGATGAGTTAGTGTGGAAACTAACTATGTAGTTACTTGGTAAAATCCAGCTAATGTCAGCATCAGGAGAACCAGAGGCTATGCAGTCTAGAGAAAGAGGGTTCCCTGGATCCTCCTCAGTAGAATTAATAGATGTCTCCTCTCCTGGAGGAAGACTTGAAGATTCATGTACGGCCAGGTAGAAAGGTAGGACAGACAAGTCCCCATGAACCCGGGAAATGCAGTAATAAATTCCCATGTCTTTATGATTGACAGCATTAATCACCAGTCTTCCATCTTTGGACACAAACAGTCTACTGTCTACACTGCTGTGAGCTGAGTCCAGTTTAGAGCCATCCGGCAGCATCCATTGGACCATCGGGTGATCAGAGCCGTGCACGTTACAGTGCATTTCACTCGAACCTCCCACTACAGCACTGAGAACTTTACGAGTCCTGTTTGTTGACTCGATCATGACCCATGTCCTCCTCTGTCTCCTCTCCAGTTCACTGTCCACTGTCTTTGAGAGGTTTACACCCAGAATCAACTGGATACTCTTGGCTGATGACAGCGGTCTGTTCAGCTGGAGGTCTACAGATGGTTGCATCAACCAGACGGGCCGGGCCTTCATCTTTACTTCCACACCTGTGTAGTACAAGGTCTCCTGCATGGAGTCCTGTCTGTAAGTATAGGTTGGCTGAGGAGTTTTGCTCAGAATGACCTCTYGCTTTAAGCGTGCCGGGACACTGCTGTAGTACGCGATCAGTCTCCACATCTGCTCGTACTTTGCTCTGTCAACGGGACATTCCAGGTCCACTGAGAAGCTGATGTTAGTGACCAGCTGATGAAGATTAACCTGCTTCCAATTGATCTTCATCTGTCCTTTAGGCTCGCCAACACTGCAGTCCAGATCAACCTTATTCCCATGTTCATCAGACAGGCTCAGAGACATGTTACCCAATGGTTCCTTAAAGTCCTCTGTGCTCAGCAGCTCACTCTCAGAGTCCTTTTGTTGGGCCGTCCCATGATGAGGGCTGATCGCTGGACTGTGGCAGACCAGGTGCTCCACAGCAAGAAGTTCTGTTCCATTCAGGTGTCTGGGAGACGAGCATGTGGCACACAGTCTGCCACCTGGAAGGGCCCGGTCACTTTTACATTTCAAAAGTCCTATAACAAAAAGAAAAGTAGAATGGTGCTGTAAAAAAACTCTCTAAACAATAGAACAACATTTTACCATTCTGAAAAATAAATGAAACAACTACACCTGCTACCTTTAATGTTTATGACTAGGATCTGCTTAAACTGAGGAAACCATTATCTGAGGTAATCACAAAGTTATTACAGAAAACTCTAACCTGATGAAGTTCTCTCCCAGTCCTGCAGCCACCTCATGTTGCAGTCACAGCTCCAGGGATTGTCATGGAGATACAGAGCCTCCAGCTGAGGCATGGTCTCCAACAGCCGAGCAGGCAGGGACTGAAGTCCGTTATCTGACAACTGAAGGTGCCGCAGCGTGGACACGTGGAAGTGAGCCAGTACCGTGAAGGTAGTGAAGGTGGACGGGTGCAGCTGTTGAAGTCGGTTTCCCTCCAGCTGCAGRAGACGCAGGTAGGTGAGACCCTGGAAGGAGTCCGGCTGGATGGACTCTAAACRGTTGTGGTCCAGGTGCAGCCGGGTCAAAGACCACAGACCATGGAGGGTCCGCCTGTTGATCTCCTTCAGCTTGTTGTAGCTAATCTTCAGCATCTGACGCAACCAGAAACAAAACCTGAAAGTTAACAGTAATAACAGTCTAGCTAAAGTACAATAAGAGGTTTTGACTTTTAAAATACTGATTCCTGCATCAGGCAGGTATACCTGCAGTGATCCCAGGTCCCTGAATGCCCCGTCAGGTAGAGCATGAAGGTTGTTCCCATGAACCATCAGCTGCTGCAGCTTCCTGAGGCCCAACAGAGACCTGCCAGAGATCTGACCGATGCTGTTAAACCTGAAACAAGACCAGACCAGAGTAAACCTCGACAGGATTACACTCTTTAAAGGAACACTGAACACTAAATATCTTACATGGTAAATGGTAAATGGTACTGAACTTATAGAGCGCTTTTCAAGTCCCTCCAGACCCCCAAAGCTCTTTACACTAACAGACATTCACCCATTCACACTCACATTCACACACTGATGATGGCAAACTACACTGTAGCCACAGCTGCCCTGGGGCASACTGACAGAGGTGGGGCTGCTATGCATCGGCGCCACCGGACCCTCTGACCACCATCAGTAGGCAAGGTGGGTGAAGTGTCTTGCCCAAGGACACAACGACTGAGACGGCTGGACAGGGGATCGAACCTATGTTGCACACAGGTGAAAAAGTTACCTTCTAAAAGGACTGAGGAGTTAAAACAACAACAACAACAAAAAAACTGAACAGAAGCTAAAATCAGATAAAAAGTTGCTAATATTTCAAATAATAAGAACAGTAGCTAATAGGCAACAGTAACAGAAARCAAAGGCTAAACCTGGCAAAACTGTCACTAAAAGTACAATTATCAAAACAGTAACTCAAAGCTAAATGCTTAACCTCAAAACTAACCCTGTTTATAGCAATTAATGGTAATTAAAAGCTAAAATAAGAACATGAGCTCAGCACAGTCTGGTTGCTAACTTAACACAGTCTGAATGCTGACTAAGCACAGTCTGAATGCAGACACAGTACAGTCAGATTGGTGAATAATTAAAGTCTGAATGCTGACTCAGCAGAGTCTGAATGCTGACTGAGTTCAGTATAGTACTAACTCAGTACAGTATGATTGCCGACTCAGTAAATTATGAATGCTGATTTAGAACAGTCTAAATAGTAATTCAGTATAGTCTGAATGCTGAGTCAGCACAGTAGGATTGCTAACTCAGTACAGTRTGATTACTGACTCAGTAAATTATGAATRCTGACTCAGCACAGTCTGAAAACTAACTCAGCACATTCTGAATGCTGACTCAGTCAAGTCTGAGTTTCAGCACAGTCTGATTGCTGACTCAGCACAGTAGGATTACTAACTCATTACAGTCTGAATGCTGACTCAGCACAGTCTGAATGCTGACTGATTACAGTATGTTACTAACTCARTACAGTATGATTGCTGACTCAGTAAATTATGAATGCTGATTCAGAACARTCTGAATAGTAATTCAGTACAGTCTGGATGCTGACTCAGCACAGTCTGAATGCTGACACAGTACAGTATGAGCACTGACTCAGCACAAAATTATTGCTGCCTTAGTACAGTCTGAATGCTGACTCAGCAAAAAATGCGGACTAAGCACATTCTGAATACTGACTCAGCAGAAAATAAATGCTGACTCAGCACAAATTAAATGCAGACTCAGCATTGTTTGAATGCTGACTGAGCACAGTCTGAAAGTTGATGCAGCACAGTCTGAGTGCTGACATAATACAGACTGCTGATGCAGTACAGTAAGATCAATGACTCAGAACAGTGCAAATGCTGACTCAGCAGAATCTGACTGGTGAGTAAGTACAGTCTGAATGCTGAATCAGTAAAGTCTCAGTTTTAGAACAGTCTGATTGCTGACTCAGCACAGTAGGATTGCTAACTCAGTAATCTGATTGCTGACTCAGCACATTCTGAATGCTGACACAGTACAGTCTGATTATTGACGCAGTACAGTACGATCACTGACTCAGCACAGTGATAATGCTGACACAGCACAGTCTGAATGCTGACTGATTACAGTATGTTACCAACTCAGTACAACATGATTGCTGACTCAGTAAATTATGAATGCTGATTCAGAACAGTCTGAATGTTAATTCAGTACAGTCTGGATGCTGACTCAGCAAAATCTGAATGCTGACGAAGTACAGTATGATCACTGACACAGCACAAAATGAATGCTGACTCAGCACAAAATAAATGCTGACTCAGTTAAGTCTGAATGCAGACTCAGCAGATTCTGAATGCTGACAGTAAAGTCTGAATAGTAATTCAGCACAGTCTGAATGCTGAGTCAGCACAGTAGGATTTCTAACTCAGTGCTGTCTGAATGCTGACTCAGCACAGTCTGAATGCTGACTGAGTACAGTATGTTACTAACTCAGTACAGTATGATTGCTGACTC